AGTAACTGGTGTGACTCACTTTCCAAGGCCATTTATGAGAGAGAAAAAAAAAGATTACTCACAATATGTTTACAAACACTTCTTTAGCCTGATGTCATTATACAATTCAGTCAGCTTCACTTCTGGAGGAGCTGCCAAATCTGCAGCTACTTAAGAATTTCCCAGCATTTTATGGAACCCGAAGGTTCATTACCGTGTTCACAAGAGCCCTCCACTGGTCCCTATCTGGGATATAATGCCATGCAGTCTTCTGAAATTCAACCTAGGTTTCAGAGGAACATATCACCTTCATTTTCAGGACCGAATAAACTGAGAAAGATATAAGCGTGAAAGCAGGTGACAAGCTGAGTGATTGCCACCTGATTTCACGCTGCTATCTTGCTCAGCTTAATCGACCTTGAAGATGGAGGCTATATGTTCCTTTGAAACTTGAACTGACTTTCAATGGACTATATGATGTTACATCACTGAAAATGGCACCCTTTAAGAGACAATGTTGAAGAACTGGTTAATCAGCCAGCCAAACAAATCAATAATTCCAAGAAGTTTCAACTTTTTAAAATTATTTTTCTTTGTGTTTCTTTACATATTTTACATCCCCACTATTCATCAGTCCTTTGGAGCTTGCCACATGCTGTTTCTTAGCTTACATTCCTCATTTGTGTGATGGGACAGCTAAGTCAATATAGTGACTATGTAGTTGGTCAACTAGGGTTTGATTTCTGGCTTGGAATGGAACGGTTTCTTCATAGCCACGTCAAGAATGGCTCTGGGGCCCACCCACCCTTGTATTCAATGGGAACTCCTGGTTCTCAGGGTAAAGCAGCTGACTGTGAAAACTGACCACTCACATCCACATAAGGCCAAGGTTAAAAATGCTTAAGGAAGCATAGGGATCCCCAATTTCCTTATTCATATGTAAATATGTGATTATGCCTCCATTATAATCATATGTCTGTGTGCCCTAATAATTCTTGAAACAACTGAAAGGTTTTCACAGAACCTTACACATGAAACTTCATACACTATATTTCATTCTAAAGGGTTCTGACGATGGTGGATGACACACAGAATTATTCGGATTTTGGACTTTTTCCATCATCCAGAATTCTAGGTAACAGAGGACACTCTAAGTAATAGAGGACACAACATTTCAGCAACTGGTCAAGTGACTGAGATTAGCTCTTTCTAAGGGGCCCAACTGAGTAAGTGTCTTCCTTTCTCACATAGTTGTAGGTTTTGTCCTCAAGATTCGTCCATTCTAAACTCTACAGTTATTTTTTCCCTTCCATGTTCTAACGGTAAATTTATAGGGGTAAAAAGATACAATTATTTCAGGAAACATGGAAATATCTATCTTTTGAATTATTTGTCAAGAGACATGTTTATATTGAAAACGAAGACTTCAGTAGTAAATATATATTTTTCGGAGTACAAATGTCAAGATATTCATTTACAGAAAATATAATACTAAGAACATTATGTTCTAAAACATTATAAGAATAGCCATCAAGAGTACCACCATTATAAATTTTGTATTACTAGTGCCAGCAGCAACAACAAATTGTAAACTGAGCATACTGAAAACCGTCATCTGTAATAATTCATTAATTCTAAATGACACTGGTTAACATTTACAACAGACACATTCTAGGTTGCAATAATTATGGGGACTCCATGCATCAAAATACAGGTACTCATGCTGGCCACTAATAGTTTTTGGGATGTTAAATAGTTAATAAAAAGAACAAAGCTACTGCATGTACATTTCCAAAATAACAAGTCCAGAAACAAATGTTACTTCAATCACACAAAATTATTGGAAAGATAAAATCATCAAATACTGATAATATACCATATTTTTAGCCTACTTTCCATATTTTGAAAAAATAAAATGAGGCTCACAGGATCACCTAGCTCTCTCTCTGTCTGTGTGTGTGTGTGTGTGTGTGAGAGAGAGAGAGAGGGGGGGGCCTAACACTGCTAATCAACAGCTCAGTAAACAAGTTCCCACAGAAATGAATATACATACAACAATAAATGAATTGCTGGACACAGTGCTTCTATGCAGTCAATGTCATACCAAATACTCAATAAGCAGGGAAAAGAAAGTTAGCAATTGGTTTTTCCCTGAACTTCTTGTTGTATAAAATATTCCTAATGCTGAAAAAAACTGCTGTTTACTGTAAAGTCAATAAACTTTTCTTATTAACCAACCAACCTACTAAAATTTATAGTTATTCAACCACTTAAACATATCTTGTTCTTATGGAACCCAAAAATGCATCATGTTCATAGAAATCCATCACTGGACACTCTCCTTATCTAGTTCAATCCAGTTCATTTTTCAAAACCTACATGAGAGACAACCATTTTAATATTGTAACGTGTTTCCGTTACCGATCCCACTTCTGACACCAGTTGTCGCGTATCGGGCGTATATCGCGACAAATAAGTTCACGCCGTATTTGATATAGCGAATTTTATTTCACATTCGCACTTACAATCACCCAAATTACAGATTTACGGTTACTGCTATCTGCAGTATCACAATTAGTACACTGAAAAATGCCAGAATACAACTGACTAGTTGCTGGCTAACTCGGCGGTAGCTCCAGGACTCGCTGACTGTCTCAGTACAACTGACTCAGTACAACTCAGTACAACTCAGTACAACTCGGCGACTGTTACAGTACAACTGAACTGTGAATAGCCTTCGCTTCTCCCTATGTAGCCTCGATCGGACAATACGGGAAAACGGCCACGTAATAGGCACCCTTGTTGCTAGCCACGCTGTCCGGTTACGTCACCGCTGTTGATTCGCCTTGCATAGTTACCCGGNATCTACATCTACATCTTCTAAGTAGTCACTTAAATAAAGACTTCATGTGCACCTTATATATTTCACCATTGTAACAATACTACATGATCTATAAAAACACAAAATTCCTCATTTTACACACTCTTTCTCTGGTCCATATAATTTCTTGAACTCCCTGACTGGTTCATGTAATTACATATTTGCTTATATCATACTACATGAGATGAGACAGTTGCGTGAGTAAAGTGGCTGACTACAGGCTGGACAACTGAGATCTGATTCCAGGCAGCAGAGGCAGGACTTATTTCTTTGCTACGACAACCAAACAAGCTTGGAGCCTCACCTATCAACGGAGTACTCAGGGGTTCTTTCAATTGAATTGATTGACCACAGCATGAAGCTGACCATTCACTTCCATCTAATACTGAGCTTTATCTCTGCATCACCTGAATATATCTTCATGGCATACAGTTCAGGCACACCTACTTTGTCTTCATTAATTATCGTTGACATATTACTGTCAGTCCTTAATTCAGGTACTCAAAAACTGTACTTCCTTGCATATTCTACAGAAGTGAGACATGGCAGTATAACCACCACATTCAAGATGTAGAAAATGCTATTATCCAACAAAAACCTGGGTAGTGGTACCACAATTACCATGTTTGGTGTGGAGGAATATATTACTCCATTAACAAAATTGAAATCATTTGAAGTTCAGTTCCAATTTTTTTTTATTTCAGGAATGGCAAATAAATGGCATCAATAATTCAATACTTAACCAAACTGTGTTCTATGTAAGATACAATATTATTGCTACTTCATGATTACCCTATGAACACCAAAACAGATGATCAGACACAATGCATTTTTATTTCAGTATAGCTTGTTATCTACTATTTTCATTACAAAAATGCATTAAAACAGATTTAAGAAGCTCACTCACAAATGAAATGAGTTCCGGTGCTACAAAACAATCACATACAAGCCAAATACTGAAGAACTGCCTAAAAATATGCAACAGCATAAGAATATGCTGAAGTATATAATCACTGGCCGTTCACGGTAGCCGAGCGCTCTAAGGCATGTACTGTCTTCGCTCGCTTGGAAACCGGGATCGTGGGTTCGAATCCTACTCAGGGCATGGATGTTTAGTTTCTGTGTGTGCGTTTTTCTGTGTTTGTGTACAGGTAGGGGTCTTGCGATGAGCTGATCACCCACCCAAGGAGTCCTACCGAATGTGTAAGATCTATAAAAACTGAAGTGAACGGAGAAGTTCATGGAGGTAGGTCTAGGCCCACTGGGGTTGTAGTGCCAAGGAATAAATAAAAATATAACTCATTAAGTCCACTGGAGAAATGAGGACAGCTGGAAGTCCTTACTGTAGGTAAATTTTTATGAAAACAGATGGTGGTGGTGATCATACATCCACTCCCCCATGCATCTTCAGGCATATAGTTCTTAATTAGTTAAGCACAGGGACAACTTTACCTTTATCTCATCTTTTTAAGCACCACCAATCAAAGAAATAAAATGAAATCCCATACATTTTTAGTGGGGGCAGCATTAATTTCTCACTCCTGTCTGAATGTTCATAATAATTTCTAAAAGCTTGTAGAAAACGTATGCAGTGTTCATACTGAATTAATTTAATGTGTGCTACTTGGGATAACAATCTGGAGCTGTTGTATTTCAGAAATGTACATTTATACTTGCGTCAATGCATGCAGAGCAATCACAGCAAAAGTATATATATGCAAGACACAGAAAAAAAAATATTCACTTTTACTGGCTGCAGAGGCGTGAGATCTCCCATAATTCCACTCTTTAGCACGTTGCCTTATGTCTGATGTGCTATATTAAGAGAAAACGGCATTAAACTATGTAAAAATTTAAATGTACAAAGTGCAATGTTTTTGCATAATTTAAAACTGAGCAGAAGCTCTGTATGACTTAACCTTGAAGGTCGAAACTTATAGAAAGAAAATGACCATTACAAAAATTATCTATTCCATTCTGTGAATTTTCCAAATTTGATCTTTATATTACAATGCGGGTATTCCAATAACACAAATATCTAAAGTGCGTTATCATAACCTCCAAAGCCAATAGCGATCAAGAGAAAAATAAAAAAGATAACACATCACTACACCCAAACTCAATCAAAAATTTTTCTCACCTTATTCAGTCTGGTGGATGTAATAGGTGCGGGTTGTTTCTTCTGAATATATCATCAGACTGCATGAACTGTCTAACTAAATTTTACGAAGTAGGTTTTATTTATTTTTACGTAACACTCCATCACCTGTTACCTGTCACTCAACCACAGCCTTCTCGCTAGCGCATCATTTGCACAAAATTTTCACTGTAGCCAACTTTTGGTAACATTCTTTCATCTGCATACAACGAACGACACGAAATAAATTTATACAAATAAACCTTATTGTAATAGTTGCTCACTATTTCTTAGTAAATTTTTCTGAATTGTTTTACAAGTGCCATTTAGTAATTCTGTGTGCTATACACCACCATCAGAACCCATTAGGATTTCCTCAACTTTTGGTTCCCCATTGACCATTATCCAAGAATCTTACTATTCCTTTCACCATTCCAATAATTTACACGACCTACCAAGCCTACCAAGGGCCTCCACCATACCAATATTCTATAACATGTATTCTCTGTACGCTTCAGTACGTCTTGGCGGTCTTGGACCTCAGGGCCCTGAGCTCGGAATTTCCCCACATACGCTATTGCAACCAATATTTTACTTCCGCCATTAGTCATCACTGGTAACCAGTCATGCCAACACGGATCACACATTATACATGACCAGGGGGAGAGCAAGGTTTCATCCCTAATGCCTATGTCCACTGCAAATCCCACCAAAAAACAGGAGACTACCACAGTGACATGAACTACACCAATTATGAAAAATAGTTAAGGAACGATTTATTCCTAATCTTCCCCCAAATTCTGTCCTTGTCATTGATAATGCTCCCTACCATAATGTACAACTAAACAGAGCCCCTAACTCAAATTCAAAAAGAGATTTTATGATATCCTGGCTAAAATATCACCTTCCACATATTACCTTCAATAACACCGATTTTTCATCATTGCGGAATTCACGCATATATAATATGATCCTACAACTCAAACCGAAATACCTTTCCTATAAAATAGATGGAATCTTTGCAGAACACAATCACAATATTTTATGACTCCCTCCATATCACCCAGAACTCAACCCAATTGAGTTAATATGGGCCACCGTAAAAAATTGGGTTGCTCAAAACAATACCACATTAAGATGATGTTATTAAACTGGCAGACCAAAAATTGGCTTCCATAACTGCAGAAGAATGGCAATGTTGGTGCCAACATGTAAGGAACATTGAGCAACAATTAACGGCAAGGGAAGGCCTTTTGGATGCAGGACGAGAGTTCGTCTTCCATGTTGTCGGTGACAGTGACGAGAGTTCTGATGATAGCTCCGATTCATCTGGTGGTGACGAGGAAGGGCAGGCATGTGGAGACGATATCTCTGCAGACATTTCCGGTGTTGCCCCTTTAGTATAGACCCATGTAATATGTAAATAAACTCTTCATGTATATAACAGTGAAAACTGTATAATAGTGTATAGCGCATAATAGTCTGCCATTCGACACTTAAAACTTAACATCGGATGTGTGAACATCAATGAGACTAAACCACCATCACTATGCAACACAATGAGGTAAGAAGTTATTTCCTTTTGAGAACGCATGTACTGCATTCCCCGCCACACTTGTCGGCATGCTGGAGCTCTCCCTGCCACTACCAATACTTCTCCTACCCTGCGCCAGTGGACTGTCACCTCTAAGTACTAGGACTCTAATGAGTCAATATAAAATTACAAACAGTTTCTGTCACACAGCAGAACAACATGGCTTTCCTGCCATGGAACAATTACTGCAGATGTTTCCTGCCATAAACTCATTTTTTCTCTCCCAATCCAATCTGCCAACAATTTTTAACTTATCTGAAAACGAGTTTGCAGAAGTGGCACTTACATGCCATAATGCCAATGGTCCATACAAATATTCAGGAAACTGAAAGTGAAAGAAATTCAGTACTGGAAGTTTTGACTGTTACAGTCATTTTGTCAGCTGCAGTGACACAGGAGGGTTCTTTTCCCCCAAAACACGAGAGATCCTAAGTAAAGTGAAGGACTGGATAGAGAAGCTACCCTTTTTGTGAAATAAGCTAATTCTTTGTATAAGGAGTCTTGAGTACTTGCTGAAATAGTTTATTTTAATGAATGTGACTGAATTTAAATGATGCTGTTCTACTTAGTGACGTTAAACCATAGATATTTGAGAGACTGAGTGTGTTAGTGGATGATGTAAAATGTTTTTGAAGACTTTTATGCAAGATGCTCATAATGATTTCAAAATTGTGTCAGTGATGGGTGGGTTAAATAAATTCAGAAGAGATGTAATGCAGCCCGCCATTCAAGTTGCTTAAAATATCTTTTTTTTTTCTTCCCTGGTCATTATGCCAATATTGAAAACCGCTTTACCACAAAAGCTATAAAGGACGTTCTTTTGTTGCACTATAATTTACACTATTATTTATGCCTTCACTTCTATAAATATCTCCCAGAACAACCAACTCTGCTTAGGGATATTAAATCATCCATCATGTATGCAGCTTCCACTTCATTATATGCGTGTGGCGATTTGGCACTGTAAGCACACTGGTACTTAGTAACTGGGAAGACAAGATTAATTTGCTTACTCTGTCATTTCTTCCTTGAGTCCAGATAATATCACCACATTACTTAAATAAGGCAACAACTGAAATATTATTAGTGTTCATATATTGCCATATTTAAATTCCTTGCACATCCCTCTGTGCACTGATAGCAATTCAGAAGACAATAAAAAAGGTAAACCCACCACCTAGAAACTAAATAAAAAAATTGTTAGTCTATTAAATCTTTATGTTGATAACCCCAAAACAATTTGTTGAGTTATTAGACTATGGAAATAGTACAGTTATATGTAATAGGCATTCTCCATTAAAAAAGTTCATTATGACTATACTTCAATATAATGTAAGAAAAAGATGTTTATTCAGTATTATGTTAGTCAATGTTGCAAAATAGCTATGTCCACAATAAATAGAGGAGGGGTTTACATAGATGACAGTTTTACAGTTACATCATGTCCTTTTATATATATATATATACAAAATCTGGTGACCCTAATACACACCACACACAAATATGTTTTCAGAGTTTTCCTCTCAGTGATAATGAATCATGTGGCATGATCATTCCTCCTGTGCACACAAAATACTGCCTTCCTGATTTATGTGGAGTGTAGTTTGGTTATTAAAATGGGTATGTGCTCTTTCTGAGCCACTCTATATTTATATAGTACATAATAAAGATCTGTTAATTTCAATAAATGAAGCTCATCATCCTGTATTGTTCAACTGACGACTTATACTGTTGTTCGTTGTCATTGCACGTAACTCCAACCTGAAACAAATCATATACATTCTTTGTGAGCCAATCTGCTGAGAAAAAAATATACAGCATCCATCCTTAATTACTGCAGATACCAAGCTTGTCTCCATAATTTGTACTCCACCAAATATTATTACAGTAATCAAATCGAAGAGGATGAGGTCGATGGGACGTGCAGCATTTAATGGGGGAGATGAGAATGTTCAGTAAGTTTTGGTCAGGAGACATTTGGTGGTCCTAGGTATAGATGAAACGATAACACTGACAAAGATCTTAAAGAAACAGCATACAAAGCTGTGAACTGGATTTATCTGACTCAGGATAGGGTTAGTGGTGGGTTTAACCACGCCACAGCTCAAGCGGTTAGTCACTGGCTTCCCACCGCGGCAGCCCAGGTTCGATCCCGGGTCTGGTCAAGTGAGATTTGTGGTGGACAAAGTGGCGCTGCGGCACATTTTCTCCGAGTACTTCAGTTTCCCCTGACAATCTTCATTCCACCAACTGCTCCACAATCACCCGCACCTATCATCTGGGGCTGGTACAATAGGGCAAAAGTGGCCGCAGTACATTGGACTTAGTCCCACCCCACTAGCAATAAAAAAAAAACAGTGGTGGGTTTTTGTGGGTAAAGTTCCATAAAATGTGACAATTTCTTGGCCAGCTGATCAAACATCAGTTTCTCTGCTCCATGTTATTAGCCATAGATTTATTGTGGATTTATTTATTGTAGATTATTGTAGATTTATTGTAGAGGTAATATACACCGTATTGTCATAAATGTTACTGCTAACAGAACCAACCAGTACTAAAGAAATAAAACTGCACAGAGACATATATTATTTTCTTTATATATATTTTTACTGTATATGGTAAGAAAACATTTAAAAGGCTAAGTTATAAATCTTAGGTCGTTCTATCATGGTCCTTGCCATGCCACATGAGTGGAAGGTTGAAAAACAGCAAGAAATGTCACTTTAATCCATCCACCTGCTCACACAAGAGAAATACTACATTTCAGAAAAGTTTTGTTCACATTGACATACGAGGTGCTATTGGAAAGTTCGTGGACTAGACAGGAGTTTACCACACAACTAACAAGAAACTACATATCTGCTTTGAACCTTACTTCATACTATAATAATACATACTGGTTATTACCGGTTATGCTGCCTTAATAAGAAACCAGAAACATCAAATCAATATTACCATAAGAAAATATATATCTTACTTAATATCTTCAGGCAGCCACGTCTCTTCCAGGTGATTCTGTATTACCACAAGCAAGCATAATGTACGTAAAGAAGGTGCTGGAAATATAAGGAATATGTTGTAGAATGTTTATTAAGACTTTGAAACAACTAACAAGAACATGTTATTCAGTAGAAAATTGTAATAAATACTACATCAACTGCAAAGATTTCATAATTTAACCATACCTATATTAGGATTCAAACATAATGGCGGATGAGGGATGCTTTGTAATGCCATGTGAGACTGAGTTACAAGACTGTAACACTGCTAACTTCCAGCTTCAGGTTGAATAGCCTAAGTTAGGTACGAGTATAACATTGCCAGTACAGTGTTCCTGTAATTGGCAACACTGAGGACAGGTCATCTATTCTGTGCCTCTTTCATGAAATAATTAAGAAACTGTAAAGGTAGAAGGTAAAGTTGTCCTTGTGCTTAACTAATTAAGCACTATGCCATGAAGGCATAGGGAGAGTGGGTGTATAGATCCACATTTTCCTGATGTCAGCACTAACTGGACGTGAATGCTCAGCTTCACGTCCTGGCTGCTTTACCCACGAGGAAAGAGGTACCCATTTGATAGGATGTTGGGTGGACCCCAGAGCTGGTCTGGACAACAAAGAGAAGAGAAAGTTCTCGACCCTACTAGGATTCAAACTCTGACCCCTCAATTATCCAGCACATAGCCAGTCACTATACTGATACCACTGGCACTACTTGTGCATGTCCCAGGTTCCAGCATCGGCAAAAGAATGCAGTTCCGTTGTCAATCTTCATTTGAACATCAGATGCTGATACATACAGTTAGAAGACTAAAGAGCCAGAGTATGTATCAGTATGTCAAGCCATTAAATAATTCACTCGCAAGGTACAGAGTTTGCTATTCATTTGTGGAAATGTTCTGAGTGATGACAGGAGAAGAGAGGGACTTTGCTTCTCTTTATCACAGGTGGTGCCATCAACAGCGGATGCTCTGCAGATTGAAAAAGTGGCAGTCATGAGATGAAGCAGTGAAACATGGAAAGAAACAATATTATATTTCAGCATCCTGTTACACTCACACAATATATATGGACAAATACCATCTTAAGTGCAACAATTTTATTGTAGTTAATAATAAAATTGTTGCACTTAAGACGGTATTTGTCCATATATATGGAAAGAAAGTTATTTTTTATGCTTGTGATCAGAAAGGACAGGGAAAACTGAAGAAGGAACAGATGATTACCACTCCATAGGAAGACAGTAATGACATCAGCAGTTCCTGACACTTGTGATTGCGAGAGGCTTAGAGAAGTGCAGATGGCAAAACTGGTTATTGCTCTGGAGCAAGAGAAAGACAATATTGGCATCAGCTATTCTGAAGAAGATTCTCCTACAGCACAGGAAGTTGCATGAACCACCTACAGTTACCATGTTACTGGAATGGAACCAATGCCTAACTAAAGTGGTAGATGACAGAGGTGAAATTTCATGTTTATTTTGTCACTACATAATGGAATGAGCATGGAGTCATACACTATAACATAAGGCTCAAACATTATCATAAATAATACTACACATTATGAAAAGAAAGTTTAATATATAAAAATAACCATTACTGTTACTTATTATTCATATCATTTAACCCTGTCAGCAACACATAAACATATTCAAAGTCTATAGTTGTGATCAACGGGGACCATCTCCCCAAATAAAACTGTATAGGCGGTACATTCAGGAAAATAATGCCACACCTTCTAGCATCTGAAATGCATATATGAGAAACTATGTGGAAATGTCTTCACTCCTTAACAATCAAGTTCCTTCCGTCAAATGTGACACTTTTTTAAGTTTTCCACCTCGTCACCACCTGCCTTACATGTTTCGGCTCACCACGGAGCCATCATCAGAGGCATTTATAGTAGAAAAAGAAATCACCAGCACACAAAACTTCACTTTGTCCAAGATAGCCACGTTCCAGTTAATTAAAATAATTACAAATAGTTAAAATTACCCAGAGTGTCGGTTCACTAAAAGTTTTTCACACACCACAGTAGCTTCCTTATTTGATTCGTCACACACACA